CAGGGCTGCTATGGGTCTACCTGTGCCTCCTTTTGCTTTCTATTTCCCAAGTGAAAAAAATGATGTCCAAATCCCTAACGTCGATTTAAGTGTCTCAGAATGTGTAGCTTTCTGGTACTGTTCGTAAACTTGGAATTTAAAATAAATGATAAATAGAAAGGGACAATTGTAGATGGGTATTAATGTGGATATATATGTATTGATTTACATCTGTTTCTATAGTGGTTTTATTTTTTGTTCCTTGCCCATTTCTATAAGATTGAAGCCATATCTGATTAATAGAAAAAGGAGCGTATGATAGTGTTCAATAGAGTATTACGTACATACGTATTATAACATGTAACTGTTACATATACAGATTTAAGGAATATAGAAGTATGTCAAGGATCCCAAAGCAATTATGATTTCAGATATTATGATGGTGGTAGTGAGTGGTGGTGTGATATGGTGTTTATCAGGGGCGGCTCGTGGGGCTAAAAAGTGGACGTGCACAATTAAGCTATCGCATGTTGATGATTGTCAAGGATATAGGCCTAACAAATGAGACGGTGTATAATTTTAGGGTCTTTGGGTTGGTGAGGGAGGTCCTCATGTTTTTACTTTCATTCTTTTTACTTGCCGCTTTTGATTTCTAGTACTTAATTTGTTTGTCAGCTAAACATCGATTTCGTTCATTGGAACTGAACACTCATGTAATAACTTTCACTGTTCTACTGCAAAACATTTGAAAGGCACAATTCATAGGACGGTCACGTTCACCTCCCTCTGGTTCACGGTCACAGAGTCACTTAAAATAGTGGCGAGACAGACAATGAACCAATCACAATTCACTTGAGCACTCCGCTGGATTGCTCCGGGGCTCACATAATATTGGCAAAGAATAGTGTACGGTCTTTCGCGTTTATTTTTAGAGTGCCTACTGTGGGCTATGTTTCGGCACTCTTCGGCTGGAGCACATTTGAGATGTGCCGTTTTATTATATTAATGTACAACCAAACTCGCTACGAGTGTCGTCATCGCTTGGGTTATCCCCAAGAGCGATTTATAGGTCAGGTTAAACTTTTGAATATCCTATTAAAAAACTATTATGTTTAGCTAAAGCACGTGGACTTTGGCATGGCATAGTAATATGTTTACGGCGCTATAGACACAGAAATGACAGTTATGGCGCCAGTGAGGACCTTGTTTTGATATAATAATATTTGGCTTTTATTTGTTTCTGGCTTCTTTTATTTTATTATTGTGGGTGTTTTACGTAATAGAACATTAAACATATTTGGGCGGCACTGCACGGCCGTGCTCTATGGACGAACCGCGCCTGGTGTTTATGCAAATAATGATTGTGAACTGAGAGAGTTTTTTTCTGGTTTAATCGACCTTTTTGGTTGTGTGATTTCTATACGAGATACCAAGGAGTTAAAAGAAATAAATAAATATGTCATTTCTAGTACTTGTATCCTTCTTCTTTCGATGTCAGCTGTTATGGTCCAGGTTTCACATGCATATTACAAAAACACGGACAAGACTAGGGAAGGTATCAGTCTCAGCTTGGAACTAATGGCGATATTCAAAATAGTTTTAGTTTGGCGACCGCAGATGTATTCTTGGCTATCGGGAAGAGTACTTCTGGCTTGGGTGCTCCGTCTAAAGTTATAGATCACAGATATTATGTAAAGCCATAGACGATCTCCACTCTTTTTTTTTGTAGTTGTTGTTTTTATGGTATCGTCAGTTCCGGTGCAGCTGATGTTGTTTGTCATTAACTGGGTGTTCTCTGCCCGGATCTACATCTCAAGACGGTTTAAATGTTTTACACTTCATATTCTTGTCCAGCTAGGTCATTGATGTTATCGGTAAAAAGTAAGTTTGCTATTGTCCTGCCTCCGGTGTTGACTATTTCTTTACAGTCTGCAAGTGAGTAAGCAATTATTCTTTCTAATACGGTGTTGAAGAACGGGAGGGAGAGCAGACATCCCAGGCGTACTCAACTTGCGGTTCAGAATCATTCTTCTATTTTGTTCTGTTGCTAATCAGCACAACCGTAAAAGCAGCACCAATATAATTTTATGAGAGGCATTGTGATGGAATCAGGCGCTCGTCAATTGTTTGGCAAATAGAGTTATGGGTATAATCTCAAAGCTTGTTTATTTCTCTTGCTTTGGATTAAAAAAATGTCCATCCATCTTGAACTGAAGTCGAGATATTTGCTGTTGAAGGAGGTAGGGTCGCCTGGTAACAAAGGTAAAATAATCTTGAAAATGGCCGCAAAAACTTGATGACTTTCAGAGCCTGAAATTTCATGTAAATGCAAATTTACTATTTGTGTTGCTTTGATCAAAGGTTGTCAGTAAAACTAATACAAAAATGTGTATTTAGATTAAATTAAAAGGTACTGAGTCTAAAAAAAAGGAAATTCGAAAAATTGCCCAATCAAAAGACAATGTCGTTTTTTCTTGACTTCATTATTTTGTCAAGTGCCTGGTTTCAAAACAATGCAACACATATACAGAGATACACGTCCTGGCTTTTAGCTCTATTTGCATCAAAAGGTTTCAATTTTACCTTGTTAAAATGTTGGTGTTTTAACATCCTGTCGGATACTCAGCAATAAGACTCGATGCAAAATTTCTCCACCCGGGAATCGAAAAGTCGAGTTCAGGTCTTCTGTGTGCGATGGGGAAGTGTTTCGTTTCAATGAACATTCACCAGAGGCATCTTTTTTAAATCTTTGCGGGTGGCTGGCAGGTACTCTGGTGTGGTTTGCTCCTTCTTTCTTATAAAAAAAACTTACCGTTTTTATCTCTCCTCCATCTTTTTCGTCTTTCTTTCTGTCTTGTAGCACCTCTAATTTTCGTCACTTATAATATGACCTAACGAATTAGTTTGTGTCGCAAATACCGTAAAACTTACAAAAAACGTGACATCTTTAACTTCAGCCAGACGTGACCATAGAAAATACTATCGATTGGTCCTGAACAAATGGCGTCGGTGGCCTTGTAGTTAGGCAAACGTTCATAGAAATATGCCAACTAAACAGTCTTGCTATATGCGGAAAACACTATTTCCACACGCCCATGGAATGGTGAAAGGGAAATATAATAAAACTATATGTATAAAAAGGGGATTTAAAAGACTGTAGCTATTGGAGAGGAATAACGCTTTTATTAGCGCCGGGAAAAATATTTTGCGCGTTATATTGTCTCCCATCAGAACAGCAATAGATGAGACATGAAGAGAGAAACAGGCGGGTTATCGACAGGAGAAATGATGTACAGATCAACACTTTGTTCTGAGAAATATCGTAGAACAAAACAAAGAATGGAGTGTCTCAATTATTTTTAACTTTGAGGACTTTAAAAAAATGCTTCTGGTGGCATAGACCGAGAAGTCCTGATGAAAATTCTTGCAATTTATGGCATCCCAACAAAAATAATAAACTGTATAAGATCATTCATACCAAAAAAAGCTGCTGAATCCTAGTTGAAGGAGAATTATCTACACCTTTTGAAGAAAATAGTAGTGTTAGACAATGCTGCATATTATCAAAAATTTTACTAATAAAATTGAATGAATTTACTACAAATAATAGAGCATTTATTGAAAGAGCTGGAATTGAAGGTATCAATACAACCATAAAAAGGAGAAGATAACGATATCCAGTACATGTTCTAAGAATGTCAAAGATAAGATTGAGCAATCAGACATGGTATTGGAAAATAACCGGAAAAAGAAAACGAGAAAAACCAACTGGAATATATAAAGGCCCGATAAGGGATGAGGCAATCACCCAGGGTCTGGATTTAGAGGACGTGGCCATGGACAGGCAGGCGTAGCGTCGAATGCTCTCCGCCTTATGTACCTGGCGGTAGAGGGAGAATGTAAGTAGGTATCGTTTTAATTATTCTCCCTACACATGCATTATTGTATGTGTCAAGACAGGTGATGAACTGATACAAAAACGGAAAAAACAACTAACCACTCACCGGAACTCTGGCGTCTCCATGTTGAAGACCATGGACATGTTGTGTAGAGCTGCGGAGATGGCAGGCAGACAGAAGAGGAAAATCCTCACTTTCTGGTAGAGCCCGAACTCACCCACACTTTTCAGCATGTCTTCGTAGGCCGTCATGGTGACGTCAGGGTGCGGGTGTGTGCGTGTGTGTGCGTGTGTGTGTATGTGTGTGTGTGTGTGTTTGGGTGTGTGTGTGCGGGTGTGAGGGTGGGTGTATGTGTGAGGATCTGTGTGTTAGGTTAGCACGTTGTCTGGGTCGAGAAGGTCTGAAAAGAAAACAATAAAAGTTTCCCCCCACCTTTCAAACGAGGATCACAGTTGTTCTTACACTAAGGAAGAAAGGAAGAGAAAGAGAAGAAACGTAAGAAAAAGCTTATTTGATTATCAATTTCAGAAAAATATAGGCCTACACTGTTTTATGGATATAAGATTTTTGCGTCATGGTGGAATCAGGCGCTTGTCAATTTTGTATGTGCAGAGTTATTGGTATAATCTTAAAAACTACTTGTTTGCTTAGTTTTCGGTGGAAATAAATTCGCAACCTACCTATCTTGACTCAAATTTGAGATATTTGCTACTGAATGAGGTGAGAATCGCCAGATTTAAAGGTAAAATTTGGGACAAAATGTCAATGTCCGCCAAAGTTTGGTAACTTCAAACGCTTTGGCCTCATAAAAACTGCAAATATGTATTTGTTGTGCCTTTGATCAGTTTTTCTGTAAAATCCAATCAGAATGTATTGTTACATAGACATATTCTAACCCCCCCCCCCAAAAAAAAAAAAAAGAAAAAAAGTCATAAAACATTACCCAACGGACGGAAATCATTATGTTTCTTCGATTTTACTGTTTTGAAGAGCGCTTGATTTCACCCCGATGTCACATATAGATGGTAGCCTACATTGCCTTCTGTCAGAAATACAACAGGTTCATATTTTATCCAATAATATTGGGGGGTTTTCTAGTGAGACATCGTATCCCTCTCAGCCTGAGTTGGCCTAGACAGGCAGTGTCAAAGACCGCGTCCTCAGTGACGTAAATAAATGACATGTGGTTCTGGGCGAGTGGGAAAGTCACTGTCCGTAACCTCTTGGCTCGTTCTGCCTTTACCGAGAGAGCAAGAGCCGCGTTCAGAGCTAGAGTCATGGAATTAGTCTCCTCTATCGAACCTTACACACAGAATACTCAAACTGGGGGGACCTTTCTCAGCGAATGAGGGTGTGTTGATGACCTAGGCAATGGTATTTGACCAGTCGATACCTAAAATTGCCCAGTTCTATTTGGCAATTTTGGCCGTTTTAAGTTACTTAAACCAAATGTTCTATCTGCTCTATCAAAATCGTAAGATTTTTCGGAGTCCTTAGCAAGATATTCAAAGATATGCATTAAAAAAAGCTTGACATGTTGTGAAACTCAAACTTTTTAACGTCAAGTTTCTGAAGAACTGCCTTGAGCCGATAGAACTTTGTAATTATGAGTAATTTCGAGTAGGCCATTTGGTAACTTTAGTTATTTCGATAATGGCAGGTGATATTGAATGTTCCTCTTGGAAATGATAAGTATACGTGCAGGTGGGCGGTATAAATGCGTTGGTTTCTTAAGGGTGGCAGCCCATGGGCACTGGTTATGATCTTTGTCCTTCACAGCCGAAAATGAGCTTACCGTGTCATCATTTTTAACGAAATTTTCTCTCTTTCTTTTTGTTGTTGTTGTTTTGTTGTTTTTTTGTGTGTTTTTTTTTTGGGGGGGGGGTGCTTAGATTGCTGATCAGGCCACTTTTCGCCCGAATACCGGCATTACAAAAGTTGGCAAGCACTTGTTACAAACTTAGACACTTTAGGTGACTTCCCATGAAAGATTTTTTTTTGGGGGGGGGGGGGGGCGTGTTGGTAAAAAGCATAGTTCCCATCCTTTCGGAAACGGCTCCGGTTGTGGAGGGAGGGGGGTTGTTTTGTTGCTGCCAACATCTCAACATTCGCCAGAGCCATTTCAGTGACAAGAAAGGATACGACCACAACGGAACATCAGGTAAGTACTGTTGGCTGGATTCGGAGAAACTGCTGAGACGATCAGACATTGACTTTTAACTGAAACTTATAACCTGTCCTTGAGCTTAGACGATTTCATTTTTTTTTTAATTACAGATGTTCACGTGGCTAGCTATGGAACTGATGTTCATGTCTAGTTCAAGGTTAGAGCTACAATCTCTCGTAGTTTTCGGTAACAATGAGTATTTTTTTTTATGATGACGTCTTAGCCCTAGAACTTTTCAAGACTCCATTACTTCGGTTGTGCTATTCTAAAAAAAAATAACTAAATAACTTTAGAGATGGCCGTGCAAAAAAAAGGCCAAAACAATTGACGACAGAGCTTAGTAGTATAAGGTTTAGGGAAAAGCAACTGACAAAATAAGTCGAGTCGAAGTAACAGCGGAGGAATTAACGTAAGTAGCATAACTCTTTGGGGTTCATCAAAAGATTTTGCAAGGTCTTTGGTGGCAAACAAAGAACAAAGCCAAGAAGAACAAGTTACAAAAAAAGGCGGAACAGAGGGAAAAAAAGGTAAAAAAAAAAAACCAGGAAGAAAAAAATAAGGAAAAACAAAAAGAGTTGAAGTAAAAATAAAAACGAAACAAACAAACAAAACTTAACAAAAGAAGGGGGGAAAAGAAATGAAGAAGTAAACATAAAAAAGGTAAGAAATAAGAAAAGCAATACAGAGACACAAAAAAATTGAAACATAAATAAATTATTTTAAAGGTGAAATTTGGGAAGAAAAAAAAAAGAATAAAAAAAGGCCATCACAGAGTGGCTAACCTTCAAAAACTGATGAGAACGTCCCAGTCAATGAACAGCTCCTCCTGCTGGCTGACACACAATACAGTGGGCCGGGCACAAATCCTCTCCGACGTATATACAATAATGTGTAGGTTTGTGTCTTATTTATTTGTCAGTCACGGCCAATAACAGTTCATTCAGTGAATCTATAAATTATTATGGTTATAAGATACAATTGGCTAGGACCGACCATATCTAGTTTGGTTCTTTCGAGGTAGCGGATAGAGAATGATTCCTATAGTAGTAATAATTAACACTGGCTTCGGTGGCGTAGTGGTTAGGCTCTATTAGGCTCTCAACCGTAAAGTCGGGGGTTTGAAATCCGCCACAGGGTTGTCGTTGTGTCCATGGTAAAGGCATATTTTTTACAAATTTTCCTCACTTCAGATAGCATGTAATGTGTACCCTTCTGAAGACAAAGAAATGTCAAGTCAGTTTGTAAGTGTTTTAGCTGTGTTCCATGGACTGCTTGTATCATAATAGGAGAAAAGAGTATACTGTAGAGCTAGGAAACGTGCTTTATCAGGGCTGTCTGTCAAGGTGGTCCTTAACTTTTGTAGCGGTGCGCGAGGAGCTATTGACTTTTTAATATCATCTGAAAGTATGTTCGTTTGTCTTGCTTTTGATAAAATATTTTAATGAGTATCTTTCTACTTCGAATAAAAGTTGATTCGCGAGTGGATGCGATGGGAGTCCCCTGGTGTCTGAAATATATTGTTAAATATGCCAAAGGTATTTTTAAAAGCAGAGACAATTGTCCGACAGGCGGAGAAGGGTCGTTGTTTTCTTCGGTTTCGTTATTTTGACGAGCGCCTGGTTTCACCACGATGACATAATATAAATAGTAATGTGTGAATCCACCAGGCACGTTCGGTGCCAGGCCCCTTCACTCGAAAATGTCCGCAGTATATTTTCTTTCATTTAAAAAAGTTTAGGTTCCACCCCAGCGATTTCAGTAATAGCACAAGAAAAGAAACGGACAACCGTACTAACATAACTAAGCAGCAAGTACAATATAAACGAAAGAAAAGAAAAAGAAACTCGCAATCACAGTTTTTACACTGGAATACATGTACTAGAGGAATTTTTTATTTTAAAAAATAAAATTAAAAATAAATAAATAAATAAAATAACAACCAGAAAAAAAGCAGTTTGAACATAGCGAACACGAACCGAACAAGTTGATTGGAGTACACTTTTTCCTTGTAACCGTGTCGTTTGCGAGTCAGTGAAGTGAACCAGGACGTCACACTGTTACGTCTGCACGTTCATCATAATATGCAGAATATATAACGGTTAGTAGGCTGAGGAATACGCACGCGCTTGGGGTTGTAGTAGAATGGATTTCGACAATGTTGCTCTTTGTATCGTTAGTTATAATAAGACGGCTGTTAATGAGACAGGTTGCTTATTCGTGCCTATCAGGGCGTTGAGCTCACAAAAACATGAATTGTAGCAGGTGCTCAGCATGTGGAATACACAGTACGAAGAGGTTAATGTCGGTAAGCGCGAAATAAAGCGCTTTCAGACGAGAGACCTGTGTCCATCCGTCCGTTCGTCCATTAGTCAGTCCGTCCGTCCGTTCGTCCATTTGTCCGTCCGTCCGTTCGTCCGCTTAATAAACAGTAACTATCTGGATACATGAAATTCATATATCAAACCGCGTGGTTCTTTGTTGTGGTTCCTTTTTTTCCTTGGGAAAATTTTGCCCGTAAAACTGGTCTAACTTTGTCCTATATAGGGAACTGAAAAGCTATAGTCGAATCCTATTACGTTTTGTAAGTTTTATTAGAAGCAGTTTCGACAATGTTCCCCCATATATCGTTATAATGTAATGGTTGTTGACGTAATGACTTTGGGTTACCTACCCATGACTATCGATCAGGGCGTTGAACTCATAAAACCGTGAATAGTCGCTACCTCAGAATTACAAAATGTGAGACAGCGTGGTGGAATCAGGCTCTCGTCAATTTTGGGGCAAGTAGAGTTATTGGTATCATCTTATAGCTTGTTCCCTTGTTTTTATTGGGATGGAAAAAATATCCATTTATCTTGAATAGAAGTTGAGATATTTGCAACAGAATGAAGTTGGGGTCACCTGTTTTCAGAGGTAAAATTAGTGAGAAAATGGCCGCCACAGATTAGTTATTTCCTTAGCTTAGAGTCCATGGTAACTGAAAATTTACATTTTTGTGCCTTTATTCAACGGTTTTAGAAAACTGCACACAGAAATGAGTTCTTTAATGGGCATGAAAGGCGTTGAACCAAAAAACAAGCATTTGATCAAAATTCACAAACCAGCGAAAAGTCCAAGTTTCTTCACTTTGATTATT